TACCATTGGATTCCTCTCACTGAGACGAATCCAATGGTACCAAATTTATCCAATTTGGATTACTGGGTCACGAGATATTAATATTTTTATAAATTAATTAGGTTATTTTTCTTTGACCCCCCTCTAACTTAGCAAAAAATATAAAAAAAATATTATTTTTGTGAAACCCCTCTTGTATAATATTATTTATGGATGCTCTCTTAATGAAGCTATGTTCGATCTATTTTTGCGATCCAAATTACTGTATAAAAAACATTTTTTTTTTCTTTTTATATACATTATAAATTGGAGCAAAGATGTTTTTGATATCAAGTAATCGCTATATAGTATATTTGTTTCTATATTCTTGGTTTAATTAATCTTGAATAGGCATTATCTGAATGAATATTAAAAATCCTGTACCTGCTCTGTTGACTTTTACAAAGACTAAAATATAGGTTTTAATAATAGATATACTTTTAGATAAGAATTAAATATCTTGAAATAAGATTTGAAGTATGATAAGTATTGTATAAAACAAAAATCAATAAAAAGAAATACAGTTAAATAGCAGTCATTTTATAAAATTGTTACAATATAAAAGAATTATATACAAAGAAGTATAATCTTTCCTTTATTTGAAAATTTCTTTTTGTATGATCTTTCTTTTGTTGAAATAACAATTAGGCAATCAAGTTCAAGTGAATAAATACATGATCAAATTTATGAATAATCAATGTTTAAAATATACTTTTCTTACTGATAAAATCAATAATATGATTTCAGATATTAAATTTAGTAGTATCTTTATATGCAAAATAATTTTTTGATATTTCTTATAGAATTTAGCATGATCAAAGATCAATAGCTGAATAGGCAATAATGGATAATAGCAAAAGAAATCTGTATGTACATATATATATCGTTTTATTTTTAAGATCTAGTGATTGGATCAAAATAATTTAGTAGATTAGAATTCTAAACAGGGCTAAAATGACATATAGTAAATGCTAACTATTTAATAAATATTATTCTTGATTCTTTTTTAATATAGCATTATACATATATGTTAGTCTATTGTTAAAGATAATCAAATATTAAATATTTCTACTAATAATTTTATATATCAAGAAAGATACTTTAAACAATAAGCAATAATGCAATAAATAGCCAGTATTTACTATATGTTGTTTTAGATCTGCTTTAGTAGTTTTTTATATAGCTTTACGCAATGCTATGTATGTAAAGATAGACAATAGTATTTTTTCTTTTTGGATTTTAATTTTTTAATTAATATGTATAACTGGGTCTATACACAATCTATAGTATATATAGTACAAATTTACATAATATAATACAACACAGTTAAAGCCTATTTAAAAAAATTTTGATAATAATAACTAATATAAATAAAAAAATTGAAAAATTTGAAACTAATCAGAATTAGGAAGGTAGAATTTCTTGATTTTATATTGTCAATCACACTATATTATAAATGTATGTTTTATTTATTGGTTTACTTTTCTTGAACCTGTACTTGTTGATGATAAGTTTCTAATACATCTTCTGGTATTATCACTTTTTCTACCCACATAGCATTTTTATGTTAGTTACCAACCAAAACTTCACCATGTCAATAGTTGTAAATAGATATATTAGTATATACCTGAAAATTTTGAACATCCAAAAGAGGTTTTATAGATAAATTAGATTCCTTATACAAACATTTTCATGTATAGTAATTCAAAGTTTTTTTAAAGCAAAATATTTATTACAATAAGGATATATATATTTGTTAATCGATTTATTGATAGTTGGGCAATACTAATCAAAAAGAAAATACTGTAAATTCATATTTGGAGGAATTAACTTTCCTTCTATTAATACAGATAAGAGAAAACCAGAATAGTGAATTATATCTTTATGTTTGCTATACAAATACTGAAAAGCTTTTGTTGAATTTTAAGTAGTGAGAAAAAAAGTGATTAGGAAGAATTTGCCTTATTTTACTTTGAAATAGTTTGCAATAGCTTTGATCATCATACTTTGTGACTTGAGTTATGTAATGACAAGTCATTACATGTTTCTCTATTCAAAATGCTAATTTCTTATTTAGATAGTGATATTGTTCAGAAGGATCTATATATTTAACAAGAACTGGATAACTATCTATAATTGTATTTTTCTATACTGATGTTAAAATATCTTTAGCTGCTTTAAAATTATGTTTTTCTAATTTCTCATCATTTGTTCTCAATTGTATATCCAAATATGTTCCAAATGTATCATATGGGAGTATGATACTAGCTAAATCATGACTTAGAGGTGCTATTCATCTTTTAACTAGATTAGATACACTTTAATAAGGTACAAAGTATGCTACAATGATGGTGTTGAGGTCATATTTATCAAAATATTTGATTATCATCTGAATTGTCTTTTTATATTAGAGATTCTTATCAGGACTACCATCACTTAGCAGCACTACTACAGGTTTAAGTTGTTTATTTGTTGTTATAGTATAGTTGTACAATTGCTTCTCATTTATCAAGTTGTCAAAATCTTTTTCATGTAAGTATGTAGTACTATTATTATATTTATTTCTGCGGATTCTTATAAAAGTTAGGCCCAAATATGTTACTGTATCAGCATGCTTATACTTACTTTCTTGCATATCTAATATTACATAAACTGAAAGAATTAGTTTATACCTTTTAGCAATAATCTAATTATGATTTGAAAGCTCTATTTGGTATTTCAGCCTCATAAAAATTGGTGCTATATTAATTATTATTAGTGAAGCTTTAACTTATTATGTTGTATTTTAAATAAGAATTCTATTTTTATTTGGTTAAAATTACTCAAAAAGCTATAATATCTATAATTACTAGTATTATTAATATATTGAACGATTTCATTTAACATCAACTCTTTCTGCTGATCAACAATTTCAAAAATCGCAAAAACAAGAAATAAAGATTTTATCAACAACTGTCATAGAA